CTACTTAAATTAGGTACCAAAAGTACACATGTGGCTAGTTGTATCCTCGTGAAATTGATGTAATATCATAATTACCTAAATAAAGCTAAGTGCCGGGGACCTAAGTGGTCATCTTAATATATATAAAAAAAAAAAAAAACTTAATATATTTAAAAAATTTTTTTTTTTACAATTATAAATTTAAATCTTTCACTATTAATAGACAAATTTTCTTATAAAATAATTTATATTTGATAATAATATTAAAAAAATTAAAAAAATTAAATTAATATACTAAACTACTTGCTAAATCTAACTTATTAACAAAAAATAAATAATGTTCTTACAACTATACATTTGAATTAACAATGCTTTATATGTAAAGTACATGATCTTGTGGGTGATTTATTGTAATTATAAAAAAGAGTTTTCATTCTAAGAAGAATAGTTTATAAACTTACTTTGATCTTATTATACATGTCACTCTGGTTATATTAACACTCTTTAGCAATAGAAAAATTGTCAATATATCTAAATGTCAGTTTAATAAGCATCTCTATCTATACTGATATTATATTGATATTGTGTAAATATGTTGGTGGCATGCATAAAATAATGCGCAAGGGTGTAATTTCGAATTTTGGCCTAAATTAGGCTTAATTCGGGCCATTATTCAAAATAACACTTCTGAGCATTATTTCATACTTATATAGTAGATAAATTTACCAAGCTTATGCTAAGAATATCAAATTTAGCAAAATGAATTTATTTTAGCACAAAATGAATTGTTTTATGTTTAGCACAAAATGAATTCATCTTATAAATGTATTCATCTTATACTTAACATAAAAGCATAAAACAAATTTGGTTCATGCTAAGCATTGCTTATTTTGTACCAAATATTGCAAAAAACGATTTCATTATATGCTAAGCTTAGCATAAAGCAAATTTAAAAAATAAATTTGATTGATACACCTATAGCAACGGTCAGTTTATTAAGATTGTCACTATATCCAGCAACAAAAAATTATTTTAAATAATTTTTTAACATTAAAATTGTCGGTATATCGGTATAATTAATATCTCTTATGATTGTCAGTATAACCAACGAATTTTTAAAATGATGGTTTTTTTTTTTGAAAAAGAGTCGATATAACCAAATGTCAGTTAATCCAGCTGTCGGTATAACCAGAGTGACGTGTATAATAGTTTTTTTATATTGTAAAAAATGGAAGTAATAATGATAATATTAATACAAGCAATGCAAAAAAAAAAAAAAAAAAAAGAAGTCAATTCAACATGTATATGAAAAATGTCAACAATAAGAAAGAAAAAAAGTATAAATCAAGACGAATAGAGTAAATAAAGTTTTTGATCATATTAGTGTATCTAATTTTGAATGCAGATTATATATAATGTACTCTATTTTTTACGAAAGAAATTATTAAATCTTCCATGAGATTTATGCTGGTCCTGAGCATGGTCATCTAAAAGAAAAATGAAATGAAAAATGAACAAAATAAACGGTAATGTTATAAGGATATTCAATTAACAGAAATCGTTACCTCTGTGACCAATATCCACCGAGTTTTGACCTGAAGATGTTCGATTGTATTGTTGATGCCGTTGCGTATATGGTTCTTGCTGCTGCAGATATTGTTGTTGTCTGAGCATAGGGTAGGATAGACCTTCATCCTGAATCGGTAAATTTATAGACCTCGAACTAGAGATAGTGTAATAACAATATTATGTGAACTATATACATTAAATAAATGATTATGATCTTAAACTATGCATTTAAAACTTTATTGCATATATATTGATTAGGCTGTCCAGAATTATGCAATAGCAGAAATTTGCAGTTGAAATTATTTTTAATAAATTATAATATCATTTTAAACTATTATAAATCTGTATATTTGGACTTGGTCTTTAAAGACCAGGTTTAAAGACCAGGTCCTAAGTCCCGGACCTTAAGGACTTTAAAACCCTACCTCGAACTATTATTTTGAATTCTATTATTGTACATCACTTGATTACTAGTGCCGTCAGATGATTCTGTAACTTCAGTAACATTGCCCTAATTTGATTGAAACAAAAAGGTTAAGACTTGGATAAAATATAAATATTTAACTCTAAGATAAATCTTACCTCCGCGTCCTCAGTTCTTGTAATAGTTGTTCTAACCCCATTGATTATTTGCGTAGAGGTAGATTTTTTAATGAACCCGCCGCTACCAGATCCGCTAGAAAATGAATTGGTTGAGATCGAAAATGAAGAAGATGGAAAACCTCCAAATCCTCCAAATCCACCAAATGGATCAAATGGATGAACTGATCGAAACTGCGGACCGCTACTGAAGCTCGATGTTGACGAAAATGGATGACCTGATCGAAACTGCGGACCGCTACTGAAGCTCGATGTTGACGAAAAGTGGGAGGGGAAATCATGATTAAACATATTACCGCCGAATGGGTCACCACCTGAATAAAGAAAAATATTCATAAGGACAATGCAAATTTACAGACTTTAAAATTAACTGGTTAAAATTCGTATTACCAAACGCAGAGAAGAATTGACGAAATATTTCTTGAGGATCGTGAAACTAATAAATTAAGCGTGAGAAGACATTTAGAAATTTAGAAGAAATAAAAGGTTCAAAAAATAAACTCATACTTGGAAAGGACGTTGTTCAAAAGTGGGGCCACCGTTTTTAAGGCCTTCTTCGCCATACTGGTCGTATATTCTCCTTTTCTCAACTAATAAAACAAGTTAATTAGTTAGTCCCGGTAAAATTAATGAACATAAAACTTAGTAGAGGATTATACCATCGCTTAATACTTCATAAGCCTCTGCAATCAATTTAAATTTGGCTTCAGCTTCTTCACGATTTTGGACATTCTTATCAGGATGCCATATCAAAGCTTGAGATTACAAGAGATCGTAAGGACATTCGTGATAAACGATAAGAGAATAAAAACTATTCGAGGCAGCAAGCATAAATCCCAAATACCTTGGCGCCTATAAGCTTTACGAATGTCTTCTTCCGTCGCATTTACCTCAATTCCTAAGACTTCATAGTAGTTTGTCATTTTAATGTTTATTGCCTTGTCCAAATGTTATTGTATAGATGTGAAGAACGTAAAGGATAGCCCAATTGCTTTAATGTTCATTAAAATTTTCGTGATTTTTCTAGAGGATTCTGTGAATAATTCTCACGTGTTAAGGTGGAGGGACACGTCAACGGAGGTTAGTTCCGTACTAAAGTAACGGAGATGCTCGGAGCAAAGTGGAAAGCGATGTAAATTAAAAATTTTAAATTACACATTATTACAGTATATATTAAGAAATTTAAACTCTATGAGCGTAACAAATGATTGACGTACCTAAATTTCATAAGCAAAATTTAGGTAAATTTTGCTTTTTTGACTTATTTAGCAAGAAGCTGTCGGTTTAATTTCTGGGTCTGAGTTTGCAAATTCTCTAGCATTCGAAGGCTCTTCTCATAAAATTTTAAGGGCGATATCATAATAAAATTGAGACGATTTTTGTTGTTTTTTTATATGTACATTATTTCACCAAAATAGGGGGATCGCTAAAGCGGGGTAACTATTAAATCGACGGTCCAGGGGGTCGTACATATCAATTGACGCCAGCCAATGATCGACATGCAACAGCCAATAGAATCATGCAACAATATAATTTAAAAAAAAAAATAATAATAATAATGACCTTTATGCTAAATAATTACTGGCTTAAAGTATAAAAGTTTTATGTGAGAATACTACTTATAAAAAAAAACTCGCAAGGGTGTGGCGACTTAGTGAAGTGGTGGAGTTGTCGCACCCCCAGACGGCAGGTCTAGAGTTCGAATCCCACGGAC